TATTTCTGTGGGTTGGCAGTGGTCAGTCCTACCCAAACCACAGGAACTAGGAATAGAAAGGGCTATTTCCCCAAAGAAAGTTCAGGTTACTAAATTGTCCATATCAAATGAAGTGAGAAAGCATGTTTGACAACCAAAGAGCAATAATTGTCCTTTCAGTATCCTCTGTGCTCTGTGCAGAGCCACACTTCAGCTAGAGCAGGCTTGGCACATAATAGGCTCACCCTTGCTAAGCAAATTATGCTGAGGAGCTCACTACACTATGAAGGACCGTTGCTTCTAAACAGCCTCGGCCCAATTCTATTCAAAGATTGACTAAGCTTCTCTGAGTGGTTAGAGTCTGGTAATTAAAATGTCCACCTTTATGTTTTTTATATTTTACAATTTTTCTATGAGGAACATTATGTATCAAAATACATAACTTCAGTGTAAACGTCTTCCTTGTCATAGCACATACGGTACACTCCAAACCTCTATGTTTTTTTAAGTCAGCCTGCCTCATATAGACATTTACAAAATAAAGAACCTTTCCGATGACAGTGGTAAATATCCTCATTAAGAAAAGTTGGCCTTGCGTCCTGCAGAGAGTGCAGGTGTCTGTTAAAGGCATCAGCTCTGGTCATGTCCTTGTTTCTTCTTTTGTCCAGCTCCCGTTTGGGCATTTTTCTGCTGAGACTAAATCTTCTGCTTCTACTGTCTCAGACCTTAGTTGACACACCTGCAATTGCTTTTTACCAAACTATTGATCAGCAAAAACAAAGGGGCTACAAGATCCCTCATTTTTATGCTGTGGCCTTTTGGGCTTCTAGCAAAGACTGTTCTGTGTAAATGGGCAGTTGACTCTAATTTGGAAATATGAAAATCAGTCCATTCTTGTCATAAAATTTATTTTACAATTATAATTATACTAGAGGCTTGATGCACAAAATTTGTGCAAGGGGCTTGGCCCTCCCAGCCCTGGTTTCGTCTGGAAGGTCATTGGGCTGTCTGGTCTAATTAGCATATTATGCTTTTGTTATTATAGATTGATGTTCATATAATATAAAATGACTAATTATATAAAGCAGTACTTTGAAATAAAAAACAAGAAAGATTTGGAAAGTAAAAAAGAAAAATGTCAATCATTTGCCCAACCCTATCTCCCCCATACAGTGTTACCATAAGACGTGCTTTTTAAGTACTTGGGTTCATGCTACATATAAATTGTTATATTTATGTTGTATATACAATACCACTTTCTTTTATCTTAACTTAACCCTATGATGTAAGAATTTGCCCCATGTTCTTAAAAATCTATTATTCAATTCCATTGTAGCTTCTGCTTCCTATTATTAAAAATTTTAACATGCCATTAATTTTTGAAGTTATTGGAAAATTTTAAAAACAATTTAATCATAGAGAAAATAATTAAAATGACCTGATTTCAGATTGTTCATTGATAATCATATTTACTATATTGATGTATGAACCAACACATTTTATTCTCATGTATATCTGCATTTTTTAAAACTAAAAGAGGATTATGTTAAATATAATATTATGTTTATTAAATATTGAGATGAACTTTGTATAACATAAAATTAACTATTTGAAAGTATACAATTCAGGAACCAATTTAAATGTGCAACCTACCTCTCTCTATTTTCAAAGCTTTCTCATGCCCCCAGCAGAACATTTTATTTATACCCATTAAGTTGTGTGTACCCACAAATTAATTGGTACTTAATCACTTTCCATTCCCCCTCTACCAGCAACACCCCACCCTGACCTCTGGCAATGACTGGTCTTATTCCTGTCTCTGATGGATTTGCATATTCTGGATATTTCATATGAAAGGAATCATGTAATATGTGAGCTGTTGTGTTTGGCTTCTTTCACTTAGCATGATGATTTTGAGGTTCATCCAAGTTGTAGCATATATCAGTATTATTTTATGGCTAAATAATAATCCGTGTGTG